CACACACACACACACATACACATGTAGGCGCGCACATTTGTGTCTCCCGCACCTGAACACGCCTTTCTTCATCTCTCCTGCGTACTCAGTGCCCAGGATGACCATCTCCCTGTGCTTCAGGCTGATGGCCACGCTGGTGGATGACGTCATGTAGTTGGCGTAGCGGTTGGCTGGGAACGCTCCTGGGGTGGGGCAGCGACATGGGCGGCGGGCGGCAAGAGCGCGGGTGAGGGGAACCGATGCAAAATGCGTGAGCAACGACAGCCGGGGGCGTGGTAACCTGGGAGCGTTGGCACCACCGAGGGGTGCTGATGATGCCGCCAGAGAGGAAGCTAGCAATATGGCAGCAGAAGCGCATCTCGCAGCACCCACCCGCACACCAACGCCTCCCGAACATTCAGCACTGCATCCCTCACTCACAGACCCGCTCGCCCTAGCTTCAGCCCCTCAAGGACTTTTCGGGTCGGGGGGAAGCGGCAGCCGTCGCTGCGCACCCGCGTTGAAGATGACGAACTCGGGCTCCCCAAAGTCGTCCAGCTCGGCGGGGGTGGGCCTTATGAGCATGTTGGACATGAACAGCGCGTGGTAGGCCCTCTCAGTGATGACGCGCACCTTGATGCGCGAGCCGGCGTGCCAGTTGGCGTAGCCGTCAAACACAAAGACGTGCGGCAGCGAGTTGAGGTAGCCCAGGGCGGTCTCGCGGTTGAGCATGAACGACCTGGGGTGGGGGGGGAGCAAGGGGGCAAGGGGATGGGGTTGGGCGAGCCTGGAAGGGGACCAGCCGGGGATGGGGCCGCCGGCGCTGCTTTTCGCTTGCTAACGAGCGAGCCCTGCCGCAAGAATTGGTCTGTCATGATGCCTGCCACCCATGTGACTGCGCTCGCACGCGCCCACGCATGCGCGCACGTGCGCGCGCGCACACACACGCACACACGCACACACACCCAACCACACACACAAATGCGCGTGCACGCACACAAACACACGAATGCGTACACACACACATACACCAACACACACAGAAGTCAACCCACCTCTCGTCCATCTCAAAGTTGGGGGACCCGCTGCCCTGGGCCGCCCACCACACGTCCTTCTCGGTGCCCGGCTCCCGGACCACACGCTTGTCGCGGGGGGAGCGGCCCGTTTTGGCGCCTGCGCAGGGGACGCACGTGAGGCTGCTGCGTCAGCCGGTCAAGATGCTGGCAAGTGACGCGAGGTTTTGGGGCAGGGGCCGGCGTGCGCGTGGATTTGCGGCTGTGCGGCTGGCTGCAGCTGGGGCCTGGGGGATGTGCGTTTTGAGGGGGCCAGCGGCTGGCTGGCCTGCGGGCGACACGATGGCTGGAGGGCCCAGCGGCTCCAGGAGAGGGGCAGACGGCGCACTGGCGGGCCAGCCGAGAGCCAGGGTCGTGGGTGCGGCTGACATGGCGTCCGCATCAGCGGCACAGTTTGATGGTTAGGGTGGGCACTGCCTGCCCCTAGCCCTGGCCCCCAGCCCTGGTCCCCAGCCCTGCCCCCCCTAGCCCGCGCACCAGACACGGTGGCAAGCGCGCCAGTGGAGGTGATGAGAGTGCCTGGCTCGTGCTTGAGCGCCTGCAGGGGCGCACAAATTGCAGGGGGGTCGAAACTGCCACGTCCCTTGTTGAGGCCTCCGGACTAGGCAGTTTGGGTGGCCGAGGTGCGCCACACGAATTCCCCCCAAGCAGCCCTCGGCCTCTCACCAGCTCATACAGTGCAGGCGCAGCCAGGTTGCGGTACACGCGCCGCGGGGAGAGGCCCGGGATGTGCATCTGTGGGGTTTGTGGGGGCCAGGGGGGGCGTTGTCAGCGTGGCCACAACAGCAAGGTGGGATGACCTGGCGGCATGGCGGGACAGTGCTGCTGCCCACCTGGAAGTCGACCGCAGCAGAGGTTTCGACGTTCATCATGGTTGGGGTTCGGAAAGAAAGTGTAGGGAAGAGCCTGTGCAAAGCAAGGCCCAATACGAGCGAAGCGCGCGAGTTTGCCGCTGATTGTGCAAGGCCATGTGTAAGCTGTGAGGGGATTGAACGGTGGTAAAAGCTGCTGGTGTATATATGGCGGGACGGACCGGGCACCGAAGCGTCGTTGCGGTTCGTTCTTGCTGTGTCAGCTGAGCTGGGCGAGACGGTTTGAGGAATGGCGAGTCATACAACGTTCAGTTAGACTTACCCGCTACAATTCACGCCGCATCACACGCAGGCCGTGTTGCAACGAGACCATGACAGCTGGGGCGGCGGGAACATGGTGAGCGAGCTCAGCTGAGCTCGAGCTCGAAGGGCTACCCTATCAAAGCGCCTTGCCGAGCCCCACATTGCTTTGGCCCCAACCCCCCTGCCGAACCACAAATTATTGATTGGGCGGCTGCATATTGACATGGCAGCGCCAGGCAACATGCGGCGTGGGGGCTTCCGGACAGCCAGCTGGAGGGCCAACGCCAGGCGGCGTGCCGGATCCATGAGGTGCCTGGTTTTTGAGGTACGGGGTGGGCGTGCAGCAACACTCCCATTCGCAGGGCACAGCTGTTTTTGAAGCAGCGAGCCAGTGCGAGGCGCGTGCACTTTGCGGGTGAGTACGCTGCAAGCATGCGGTGCGAGACAGCACGAAGCCGCCCTTGCACAGAGCGCTCCGTCAGCGGCACCCATGAAGAGCCCGACCTGCCGTGCAAACCACAGGGAGGGCAGGGCGGGGAGTGGCACGATGTTGTAGCTGGCAGTGCAGGTAGCTTTTTGGGACTGGGAGCCGTGCCACAGCCATATGCAGGCGATAGCCATCCATCCAGTGTGTGGTGAACCTGCTGCATGGCAGCCAGCGGTGGAGGACGCCTGCCTCCACCGCCTTGCTATTCCCGGCTGCTCCTGCATCGCAGCTTGGATGGCGAGTTGCGCGGGTGAGCGCTCTGCCCATCAGCACACGTGCTGCGGTAGATTGCGTGGCCTAATGCTGGCGGTCCAACGACCTTGACCGGCCTTGGGTGCCCAATACCATTGTCTGGGCCAACCACACTCATGATGTCTTGGTGATAACACCCATCCTGTTAATCATATGGGGGAATGAGAAACGATTGAGGGCTTTGCTGTACAGAATTCAAGATGGCCGTGAGGTCCACCTGTTCTCAGCTCGCCCTACTGCGACTGTACGTTTGCTTTAAATCCATCCGTATATCTTGACAATTGCACGGAGCCTTTGTAGGCCTGCCCCGGAGAACGCCCTGGCACCGTCGGTTCAAGGCAGCTTGTCGCTCGGTGCGGTCCCTGCTGCAGCAAGTATGAGCTTGGCATAGTACTACATCAATTCTAAGCGGTCGGTGTGGCCAGTAACTCAGCTGGTCCGCTGAACAAAAGCAACAGTGATATAAACGCACTCGTGGTGTCCCCAGCACCCGTCTGCCAGCATGCAGCGACAGGACGGTAGCTCGCCCATACCACCGAGGCACCGGCAGGAAGCGGCCATGCCCGACAGTGGGGAAGCGGAGCCCCTGGTTCCCAAGCAGTCGACGGTCACTATTATGGAGAAAACACCCGAAGCAGTCCAGCAAAACGATCCCACGCTGCCGCTGTGGGTCGTCATATGTGAGCCTGGGCCACGCGTGCGGCAAGCGGCCGGCGCGCCGCAGTGAGCGCATGCTGCAGTCCTGTTGCGATGCGGGCCTCACTCGCTCTTGAGGATGTTTAACAAGGTCACCCACGGCATGCTGCACTTCACCGCATGACCTCGCCCCAAACTTCCCCGCACATGTTCCTTGTACCGCCGCCGCGAAACCCAGTGTACTACACGCTTGCCTCGGGCACCCTGTTGGTGATCAACAAGGTGGCCATCGTCGCGCTGCCCGCGCCGTCCTTCGTGCTGCTCCTGCAGCTGCTCGCGTCCGCCGGCGCGGTGCTCGCCGCACACGGGGTCGGCGCCGTCACCATAACGCCGGCGACGTCGCGGCAGCTGCTGCACTTCCTGCCCGTCACGATCGGCTTCCTCGGGACCATCTACGCCAACATCAAGGTCCTGCAGCACAGCAACGTCGACACCTTTATCACGTTCCGCAGCTCGACGCCGCTTGTGCTCGCGTTCTGTGACTGGGCGTTCCTTGGGCGGCAGCTGCCCTGCGGGCGCTCCTGGTCGTCGCTCGGGCTGCTGCTCTTGTCGAGCGCGGGCTACGCGTACTTTGACAAGGGATTTGTCATGGATGCCTACCTGTGGCTCTTCATCTGGTACGTCTTCTTCACGTTTGAGGGCGTCTGGGTCAAGCACATGGTGAGCGGGCGCCCAGCACCGCGCAACACGTCTATGGTGCCGCAGCGCGGCACTGGAAGCGAGCGCGCTGTGCGTTGGAGTGGGCTGCATGCTGCTGCGTGGGCAGCGGGCAGCACATGAACGTACTCAAGTGGGTGGGGGGGGTCAGCAGCTCGTGTCAGGTAGCAGGCGCGTCTGCGGCACCACCATAACTCCTTGGCGATGCGCCCACGGGTTGTTTTCCCTCGCGCAGTGCGACACTGTGCCAATGGGCAACTGGGCAAGGGTTTATTATGGTGAGCGGGGGGTGTTGCGCACGCACCCAGGGACGGGCTGCAGACGGCGGGCCAGGTGGGGCCAGATGCAGGCCTGCATCCGCAATCTGCAACCGCGGCCATGTGAGCGACGAAGCGCATGCTCTCCTTCCACTCGATGTGCACGCTTATGACACATGCGCGCGCACGCACATGCACATACACACACACACACACACACACAAGCCCACAAGCAAACCAACTGTCTCGTGCTCCGCCCTCCCCCCCCCCCGGAATCCCAGCCAACCTGATGAGCGCGCCGTTCCTGGCGGTGGTGCTGTTCTTCGACACGAGCGAACAGGACCTCCTTGCTGAAACAGAATGGACGTTCAACATCATCGCCCCCATCGCGCTCAGCTGCGCGGTGGGCGTCGCGATGAGCCACGCGAGCTACCTGCTGCGCTCCCACGCGGCGGCGACGACGGCGGCCGTGGTCGGCATCGTGTGCAAGCTGCTGTCGGTGACGCTGAACCTTGTGATCTGGTGCGGGGGCGGGGGCAGGGGCGGCCAGGCGCGGCAGCCTGTGCGCGCGCCAGGCAGGCTTTGCTACGCTGCAGGGACGTGCCCATGGGCGACCATGCTTCCAGGAGGGTTCCCTCTGGGCCAGCGCATTGAAAGGGAGGCGCAGCAAACCCCCGGCCGCACTGGGCTGCAGACGTTCGCGACTCGGCCCTGCGCTCACGCGATGTGGGACGCCTGCGCGGCCTCCGTATGCAGGGACAAGCACGCGGGCCCTGTCCAGCTGGGCTTCCTACTCATGGGCATTTTCGCGGCCTCCATCTACAGGCGAGTCCAGCGGGGGCTGCAAGCCCTGCGGTTCGCTCGCGGCGCCGCTTTGACCCTTCCTGGAGCCCATCGGCTCGCACGCTTTGGCATCGGCCTCACCCAGCTGCATGGGAGCCGCTTGGCTTGCCTCGCGCCGGCACAGGCCCCGCCCACCGCTGCCACCCACGCCTTGCTTCGCGCCCGCTGCATGCAGGCAAGCGCCGCTGCGGCAGCCGCCAAAGGTTTCGGACTATGGAGGGGTGGTGGCTGCCAAGGAGGCAGCTGCATCATAGAAGCGGGTGCTGCGGGGGGGGGGGGGCTGCACCTTAGGCACACAGTTGCGGTTGAATTAATATACTATTCTTCTACTATTGACACCCCAATCCATACAACGCCAAAAACTGCTTGTGTTCTTGTGTGAGAAGTAGGCAGTTCCTGCGCGTCATGCCCTCTTTTTCTGTCTGTGCCATTCCTTGCCTGGTGGGCATGTTGAACTTAGGGTCTATTAAGCACCACTCGTTCGCGGTCCTGAGGCAGCTGCATTACAGCAAGCACCAGGCACTGGGGGCGCCGGCAGGCATGTAACAAGGGGAAGCAGCCGTGACAAAATGCCGCCACCTCAGCGTGATGACGGCCACAAGAGGCATCAGCCTGACTTCTGCCCAGGCGAGCCCAATAATGAGCAAACCCATGCGTTGGATGGCGAAGCAAGTGCGCCTGGCTGGATGATGCAACGATGCGATTTGAGGGAGTGCTCGGGGTACCGCCGTCTGCCTTCGGTCAAGATGGTCTGCCGCATCACCCGGCGACAAAGGCCACCTTGCTGTTGCGGTGAGCCTTGCTGTTCGCCTCCAAGGCCTCGCGCCACCTTGATAGCGGGAACGGCTGGAGCCTATGTGGGGGTGGGGGAGCGGCGGAGGGCAGTCACAGCACCGAGGAGCACGTCATCAAGAGACGCGCTCGTGTTGTGTAGGGCTAGCGCACACCCTGTGAACACACATCATGACCCAGCAAAACACCACGCAGCTGCGCCTGCTCCCTGCCCTGAAACGCTCCCCACCTCAAGCAAAGTCCCACAGCTGCAACGCACACGCGCCTGCACACACACACACACACGCACGCACACACACATACCTGACCCGCACACACACGCGCGTGCGCGCCAGTAAGCGACAGTCTCTTTCCATCTCTTGTCCTGACGCTCTAATATCTGACATACAATCCAAATACAAACGTATGCACATAGGACAACACACACACACACACACATATGCAAAGACACACACACATACACACACATGCACGCGAGCGCACGCACGCACGCACGCGCGCACGCACGCACGCACACACACACACACACACACACAAAAGCGCGATCCAGCGCCCCACCTGGGCGCCGTCAGCGCCCCCTCTTGATACAGCCCCGCCACCCTGTCCAGCAGCTCCGCCCGCCCCCCCGGCTCCGCCCTGGCCGCCCAGCCGCCGCTCAGCCAGAAGCCCCTGAACGCCAGGTCCTTGAAGAGCAGCAGCCCCGTGGGCAGCGGGACGGGCTGCATGGACATGGCGCCGTACGTCACCAGGGTGGCACTCGGCCTGGACGGCCGCTCGGAAAGGGTGTGGGTGCGTGTGTATTGCGGCAGGGCATGTCGGTGTGGGTGCCCGCCAAGGCACACGGGGCGGGGCGCCGGCCCAGCTGGCAGGCGGGCGCCGCACGGGCCTTCGTCGCGCGCGGGCGAGGCTAGGCGGAGGGGGGGTTGCGCGCTGGACGGCTGCCGAGGGCGCGCCGTGCGGCGTCGCCCTGCGGCGGCGGGGCCAGGGCTGGCAGTGGCAGCGCACCTGAGGAGCTTCGCCGCCGCCAGCGCCGCGCTGCCGCCGATGCAGTTCAGGCCCAGCGCAGGCGCCGCCAGCCCGGACGACGCTGCAGCGGGCGCCGACGTGCAGAGCGGGCGCGCGGTCAAAGGCGCAGCGCGGCGCCGGGATCCAAGGCGCGGGCGGGGCCCGTGCCATCGCCAAGCAACGCGAGCGGCGGAAAACACTGTGGTGGCGTTTGAGCCCCCGCGGAGCACAGCCACCACCAAGCGCAGAGACGTTACGGCCGGACACTCCCGCAAGGCGTGAGGCCCCAGCAATAGGGTAAGAGGGAGCCTCCCGGCCTCGGCTTTTTGTTTCGCCACCGCCTGCGCCGCACCCGCATCCGCTTTGGCGCGCTCCTCTGTTGTGACGACGTCGGCCCCCATGCCCTTGAGCCAGTCCACGGTCTCGTCCCAGTCCGGCCTGGTCGAGGGTGTGGGATAGGGGTGGGGTGGCGTGGGGTCAGGTGGGGTGGGGTCCGACGAGGGAACCAACTCCCCCACACCCCAAAAGTTGCCGGGTGTGGCGGTGGGGTGTGGGT